ACAGTGCTGGGATTACAGGTGTGAGCCACCATGCCCGGCTGGCCCTGTAAGTTTTAAGGAAGGCTTGAGGTCCAGCTCGACAGCCAGTGAGTTACTTAAGCAAGGAACTTAACTTGGTGGCCAAGGGAAGGTCAGCCTGCCTCCAAGCAGTTACAGTGGAGGCTTTGCTGGTGCCAGAGGCCACTGGGTTAACCATGGCAAAGAACTTAACTGTTTAACCCTACACAATGTAACAGGACTGCTGTCCTCTAAGGAAAGTCTCTTGCTAACAATTGCCTCCTCAAATACCAAGCTTTGCTGCTAAAGGGATCTGTCGCCCATTGAAAACCTGCTTTTGACTGAGCCCAGCCACTTTCTTTGAAAGAAAACTGGAGAACCTGAACATGACTGTGAACAGGTAAGCAAAGCAAACTGGTAAAAGAAATAATAAGAATCACTGTTTGCGTTCTCTGGATTTTCTTGAAGAGTGTTCAGCTTAATTAAAAGTGGATATCCAAACTATGAGTATATTTAAAAGGCCTTTATGTTTTTCTCTTCATAAATCTTCTTTTCCTGGAAAAGGTTTTTTTTCGCAGTTGATTGAATTGCTTCTTTTACTGTGTCTTGCCACTCTTGGTGCCTGCATGAAAGACTCTAGATGACTTCCGGTGGCCTGCGACTCCTCAGGAAAACAGAAAAGGCGCCACAAATCCCATTTTAGGAAAAATCTCTGTTTTCCTCATGGGATCCCTAGAATTAAAGGTGAATAAATCCCTCTCAAAATCTGTCTTCGTCTTCTGACTATGCTTGCTTATTAGGCCCTGGAAACTGCATTCCTCACTATATTCTTAAAGGGCCTCACTCGGAGGCCAATAATCCAATTGAGACATTGGCAAATGCAAAATTTTATAGCTACTGGATCTTCTTCTGTTTGTCTGTGTGGTTATAAATGCGTTTTATATATGTAATGTCTGTTTTTTTAAAAAAAAGGGAGCTCTAATTAATTGGCCTAAGAAAAATAAGCACTTAAATATTTTTATGGGAAAAGTAATAGCTGTGGTAACTTTCAGTTCACATTACTTTAATCTTTAAAAATAAAAGTCTTAGGAATTATTGCTAAATACAAACGTCTTCAAGGTGTAAAAATATGGTCTAAATTATGCAGGTCAAATACTAGGTTTGCTAAATGCTTTCCGGTTGTAAACTGCTTCCTTAGCCTTTGCAAGCTGTCAGCTTGCCTGCTTCACAATGGGCAGGGCCTGGGAACATATGAAGGTAACCATGCCCCTAACTGTACTGAAAGGAGTCAAACTTTATCTGCATCTAGCACATAATTAAAACAACCTAATACTTTTACATTCAAGTTAAAAATTACTAAAAGTTACCATTATAACGTGATTGAAACTAATGACCATGGAATTGCATGCAAAGTGTGTAAAAACAGTAAAAGATTATAAGAAGGCATGGAAATGTATATTTTGCTTAGGAATAAATAATTGTTTTAAATAAAGTAGAAGGTTTAAGCACATTGTAAAAAAATTGTAAAAATTAATCTTGCGAAGAAAACTCCCTGTGAACATATTGAGTAAATTCAAAAGGGTATAGTTTTTTCTGTAAATTAATCACTGAAATAAAAGCACAGCAAGGTTTTCTTAAAATGCTAATCTACTCTTTAGCAAAACTTGTCAAGGGTTATCACAGGCATGTGAAAATTTCACTTCATAGTCAAACTGGTTAAAATTAAATAGGATTGTCTATAAAGGTTCATTAAAAAATAAGGTTAACATTAATAGCAAACTAATGCAAGGGCAAAATTTAACTTCCCTCTTAAATTTTCCACATAATAGAAAAGGCTAATGAGTCGTTTTTGCTTTTTCAAATTTTAATTTTGATTTTCTGGCTCATCCTTTTGGCAAAAACAAAACACTTATGGTAATCTAAAATTCCATTTCATAATATCAAGTGTTTTAAATTTTAAATATACTTAACAGGCTTCCCAAAGTCAAACTTGTCTCGAGTTTGTCTTTCCTAACCCCTGGCTTTTGGATGCTGCAGAGGGTCCCTGAAACATCCAGAGGAGAGGTAAACAGAATGATTGAACATGTTGAGGTATGCTAAATTGCCAAAATGATATCTAATACTCTTCAGGTTATTTTTTAGCAAATAATATTAATGCTTGAAAACTGTATGGAATGCCTGCAGTTCTAGTGTCTAAATATGTGCTATTAATCACAATTAAGGTTGTTACGTTGGGTTTTTGAAAACCACAAAAACAACCAAGTTTCTTTGTCAATTGTGTTTCTAACTGTATCCAAACTGGGCATTTTGTCATTTACAGACAATCGTTGTTTTGTTTTAATTTTCTTCAAAATATGGCTTATAATCAAGCCGTGGGACTTTAACAAGTTCTCTCCAATGCAGTTTTGTCACAACCAAAAAACGTACAGAACTCATAAAAGCCTAAAATGTTTATGAATATCAAACAAAACAAAAGTTAGCGGAATGAACTGAACTAATAGAAAACTAAAACAATATTCTTCATTTATGCTTAGAACACTGCCAATCCTTATTTTGTTTTTCAGGGTCAAAAAAACTTGTCTTAAGCTAGCTACAACCTTTGACAACTAAGCAAACTATACTCCTATAGGCAAAGTTTGGAGCATGTTTATTTCTCTCTGCCTAATTCCTCTGGAATTTGGAAACTAATTATAAGGATTCTTAAATTATAACAACGTAGTTGTTTGCATCAATGCAGCAATAATCCATTTTCTTTTCTTTTTATTTGAGATGGAGTCTCACTCTGTTGCCCAGGCTGGAGTGCAGTGGTACAGCCTTGACTCAGTGCAACCTCTGTCTCCTGGGTTGAAGGGATTCTCTTGCCTCAGCCTCCCAAGTAGCTAAGACTACAGGCACGCACTACCATGCTCAGCTAATTTTTGTATTTTTAGTAGAGATAGGGTTTCACCATGTTGGCCAGGATGGTCTCGCTCTCTTGATCTCGTGATCCAGCTGCCTCGGCCTCCCAAAGTGCTGGGATTACAGGCCTGAGCCACCGTGCCCAGCCAAGAATCCATTTTCATTTGCAACAAAACGCAATTGGAAAAACTGATCGTTTTACCAAGGCTTTCACTGGAAGGCTATGTTTCCCTTTAAGGAATCAAGCTTAACTTGCTGAGCCAATAAAAGCCCCTGGGGAAAACTGGCCTTATACCTCTCTACACAGTCTCCATATAGGGTCCCTGACCTGCGGTGAGTAAAGAACGTCACTTTCTAACAGACCTAGGAACTCCATGCTTCTGGAACCTCAAGAAGGAAAGAAATTTACCCAACTCATAGGAATTTAAAGGTACAAACAAATGGTTGGACTTAGCTTTAAAAAGTCCTCTCTAAAATTCCTCATGGAACAAGTTTCCATCAAAGCCAATCTAAAGGGCCTATGTAAGGATGATTATTCTTGCTGTATTTTATGCAAATAAATAGACCAAGTATAGGACTGAAGTCTGTTTTGCAAACAGCTCAGGCCTATCACAGATTGTTTTTAACAAAAATGAGGACTGAGGAAAGAGAAATTAAGTTTTAAAACTTTGCCGTACATCTGTTATTAACTTCTAGTCTCATTAGTTGTTTTAAAGTTTTTGCCTGCATTTTAAACTAACCCTGCTTATTCCTGTCAACCAACAAGCCATCTGTGGCTGCAGCTCAGGGAAAACAGAGGCATGGGTAATATAAAAATCTGGGAACACGTTCTAGTTCTGGGCAATTATCCTACAAATCCTGCCAGGTAACCTACAACCCCAAGGTTTCTTTTTTTTTTTTTGGGAGAAAGTAAGAAGGAAGCTAAACAAAGCCAAGCCCATACACCCACTTACAACAGCACAACCAATCTACGTGGCTCACAGGTATCAAACAAACTTTGTTGTCACAGTTACGGCCTATAGTGCTCCCACTAATAATAGTAATCTTAATATTCATATTTGGACCCTATATTCTAAACCGTATATTCTCCTTGGAAAGTTTATTTCTTCTTGCCTAAAAACTGTCAAGCTTCAGATGGTGCTGAAAATGGAGCCGAATATGAAACCACCCTCCTACCAGGGACCCTTAAATCAACCCCAGGAGGAGCCCTGGCTGCTGTTCCCACAAAGTGCCACTCTCCAGCCGGAAGTAGCCAGGAGAAATCATCACAGTTTCCCCTAACAGCAGTTAGTGGTTCTATTCCTGAGGGGGGAAATATGTTATAGGAAGCAGAAGGAAATTATTTAGGTAGACAGGGTAAACTGGCTACGTAAGTTTAAAGTCCCTGGCAGAAAACTTTCCTTTTAACAAAAAGCAGCTCAAAACTAGCTCCCTTTCTAACCTCATGTAGTTCAAAAAAATCACTTCTCTTCTAACAACAAGCAGCCTAAAAGTTCAGGCTGTAAAACAGAGAAGACAGCTCGAGCACAGTAGGAGAGGGCGAAGTCTCCTGGGTAATCAACAAGCTTCACACTTATACAATGGCCCCACTGTGGCCCCAGCAAAACAGCGGGTCTTAATAAGCACATTCCTTTTCCTCTAGGTGCACTAAGATAGAGAAGCTAAAAGCAGACTTGGAGGGATGTCTGCAGCTGCCAGAAGATGTATGGGAACAGACACAGAAACTCTTCCTCTCAGATAAGCAAGACAAAGAAACACAGCCTAAGAGTCAGCCTCTGTGGTCAGGGAATGGGATAAGAGATAATTAAAAAAACCTCCGCTCTATACAGATAGCACACCTGGTCCCAACTAAACTATTGGGCTCTAGGAGGATAAGAATCCCCTCCTCATGAGCTCCCTCCTCAGTAGCCCATTTATGAAAACTCTAACATTTTTACTACCATTTGGCAACCAGCTGGGACCCCTCTCTGTGATGGAGAGCTGTTCTTTTCTTTTGTCTATTAAATTCCTGCTCCAAACTCACTGTGTGTGTGTGTGTGTGTGTGTGTGTGTGTGTGTGTGTCTGCGACCGCAGTCTCCTTGTCCATGACACCAAAAACCTTGGTATTTGCCCCAGACAACAGGGCCACTTCACAGCCTTCTCACATTAAATTCCACACATTGCATGTCAGTGCTGTCACAGCTGTGTCTATCACCACGGCAACAAGCAGAGGGACTCAAGGCAAGAATGTGGACTGAGCACGGACTGGCCTAAGCTTGAGATGGGGATGTGCCGAGTGTGAGCCATGGCTCAGTTCCACTCACTATGCGACTTGGTAAGAGTTACTTGGCCTTTTTGGGTCTCAGTTTCACATCTATAACATGGGCTAAAATAACAACAGGGATAGCTCCTTTCACTAAATCACAGGTTGTTGAATATATCCAACGAGGTAATGTTTGTGAAAGTGCTTTGTAAATCTTATGGCACCATATATATACCAGCACTAATTGGAAAACAAATATATTTCTAAAATTTAATATACAGATTCAAGATTTTGTAATTCAAAGCAGGTTTAAACAATTCGGAAAATCCATGAGTATATTGAATTTATCATTATTAAAGTGAAGAACTAATGCCCGTCCCCCTCCAATTTGTCCCAACTCATCTCAACTTGTCCCATGTGTTTTCTTTCCCTCCCTCCATCTCTTCCTTCTTTCCTTCCTTCTTCCTTTCTTTCCTTCTTTCTTTCTTTGAGATGGACTCTCGCTGTGTCACCCAGGCTGGAGCACCATGGCAATATCTCGGCTCACTGCAACCTTCACCTCCCAGGTTTAAGTGATTCTCCTGTCTCAGCCTCCCAAGTAGCTGGGATTACAGGTATGTGCCATCATGCTCGACTAATTTCTTTATTTTTAGTTGAGACAGGATCTTGCTATGTTGGCCAAGCTTGCCTCAAACTCTTGGCCTCAAGCAATCCACCTGCCTCAGCCTCCCGAAGTGCTGACATTATAGCCATGAGCTACTGTGACTGGCCTCCCTTGTGTTTTATTAAAGGAAGACCCATGTGATGGCCAGGAGACATGGCCCCCTCTTGTGTGACCCTGTGTTGTGAAGTGCATGCAGGAGGATTCGCTTCCCACAGGACACTTACCGAGCCCTTTCATGGCCTTCCTCAGGGTCTGGGCGTCTTCCGCGGCATTGAATCCTGAAGCAGCTTTGACAGTACCTCCTTTGGTTGCCTGAGCACACAGAGAGTAATGCTACTGAGAGGCAGCCTCTTACCAACACAGAGGCATATCATTCCGCAAACATTTGCTGAGTACTGACCATAGCCTAGACAGTATTCCAGGTGCTGGGGATATAGCAGTGACCACAAAATATGAAGCTTTTGCTCCCTGGGAGCTGATGCTCTAGCTCATGGGAGGCAGACAGTAAATGAGCCTACAATTCATATTCCATAAAGTGCCTGGGGGTGAGTAGTGCTGTGAAGCAGATAGAGAGGTCCTGGAGGGCCCGTTCTAAGGAGTGACACTGAAGCTAAGAGCTGAATGAGAGGAAGCAGCTGCCCATGCAAAGATGGAGACAAGGGTTAGGGCAGAGGGAATGGCTTCTGCAAAGGCCCTGAGACTGGAACTAGCTTGTAGGGAGAGCAGGATGGAGGCCAGTGTGGCTCCAGTTGGTGGGCAAGGAGGGGAGAGGCAGATGAATGACGTCTCTGCGGAATCCTGTTCCCCACAAAAGGGAAAAATATCAAACCTGAATCTAACCAAGCTTCTAGAGCCAAAAACAAATTTACAGTAAACAGAGGAGAAAGGAGAACGTGAAACCACACCAAAGGGTTGCAGTCAGCAAAATCCAGACTGAGACGCAGCACTTAGCCAATGATCTAGTTTCTTCCACAAATAAATTGCAAAGGGAATTTAAAGAGAGAGATAGAAGGGAACTACTGTTTAAAAGACGTTGGAAAGGAACATCAATGATCATAATGTGAACCTGTAGTGTCATAATTTGGATCATAAATCAAACAGTTAAAAAAAGACAATGGAAATTTGAACACTGATTTGATATTTGATGACATTAAGGACTTGGTTTTAACATTTTAAGGTATAAATTGGCATTATGGTGATATTTCATTTTGAAAAGAATTTAATCTATTGAAATAGTTTCAGATGAAATGATAAGATATCTTGGGTTTGCTTCAAAATCACACAAGTGGAAAAAAAGGGGAGGTAAGTAGAAATAAGGAAGAAACAGGCCAGATGCGATGGCTCACCCCAGTAATCCCAGCCCTTTGAGAGGCTGAGGCAGGCAGATCTCTTGAGCCAGGAGTTTGAGAACAGCCTGGGCAGACATGGTGAAACCTCACCTCTACAAAAACCTACAAAAAAATTAGCCATACATGGTGGCATAGGCCTGGAGTCTCAGCTGCTCAGGAAGCTGAGGTGGGAGGATCTCTTGAGCCCAGGAGGTGGAGGTTGCAGTGAGCCAGGATCGTACCACCGTGTTCCAATCTGGGTGACAGAGTGAGACCCTGTCTCAAAAAAAAACAAAAACAAAAAACAAGAGTGACCATGAGTTAATAATTATTGATAGGTCCACAAAGGGGTTCCTTATAGTATTCTGTTTACTTTCGTGCATGTTTAAAGTTTTCCATAATATAAAAATTTAAATAAATGAATTAAAAATAAATAAAAGGAAATCAGAGAGGTGGGCTGGGGCCAGTGCAAGGCAGCCCTTCCAAGCCAGATAAGAATTTTGCATTTCATTCTAAGTACAGTAGAAAGCCACTGACAGGTTTTAAGCAAGTGGATGGGGATATGTGATCTCACTTATCTGTTTAAAAGATCCCCAGGCTGCTGTAGGGAGATGCAGAGACCATTTGAGAGCCTGGGCCAAGATCTGGGGGTGGGATATGAGCTAGACGAGCATGAAATAGTTAAGATAGAAATAAACAGAAGAACAGACAGCTCAGCACATGTTTTGGAGCAAAGGCGACAGAACTTGCTGATGGACTGACGTGGGAGGTGAGGAAAGAAAATAATCAAGTAAAACTTTAAATCTTTTCCCCTGAGCAGCTGGGTATCATTTATCCAGATGGGGAAACCTGGAGGAAGACTACCAGATTTAGGGTGGCAGTGTGGGGTGGGGTTTAGAAGTTCTATGTTGGAAATATTAAGTTTGGGATGTCCATTGAATATCCAAGTGGAATTGTCAAAAGGACAACTGGTTACACAATATAAGTCTGGAGGTCATGCCCAGCATAATAAAGTTAGGACGCATCAGCATTTAGGTGGCACTTGATGAGATGACCTGGAAAGAAAGTGAAAATAGGGTACAGGGACTTGGGATAAGCCTGGGTCTCTCCAACAGTACAGGTCCAAGAGAGGACAGCCCAGAAAGGATGGCTAAGAAGGGACAGTCCTTGAGCTCATAGGAAATCCAGGATCGTGCACTGTCCAGAGGCTGAGGAAGGAGGAATTAGCTGGCCCCTGGTCTACTGAGAAGCTTAGTGGGAAGGAGCATAGGCACTGGAGTGGGGTAGACCTGGGGTTGATTCTTATCTTTACTTCTTTCTAGCTGTGTGGCCTAGGGATGTTTCATTTTTCTCACTTGTATATTGGGAACAATGATAACTCACAGAAACAGGATAATACAGGAAAGCACTTAGTACAAAACCCAGAAAAAGTAAACACTAAAACAAAAAGTCAGACTTGATACTATAATCATCTTCATCATCATCATCATCATCATCATCATCAAAGGGAACTTCAGCTGTACCTCCATAATTATTTATATTATTTTTTTAAAATAATGAGATTATTTTGCCTACTTCTTGTATTATCCCTCCACATAAGCCTATGGGGTAATGCCAAAGCAGAATTTAGGATGGAGCATTTGTACAAGGTGGCAAAAACGGTGTAGAATAGAGCTAAAGTTTTCTGATAATCTAACTGGATCCAAGAACGTAATATGGGCCATCTGAAGGAACAGAGGATTTTTAAACCCTTAGTGCAGTTCTCCAGCAAGGCAGATTTGAGCTTCCTGCACTAGACCACCCTGGCCTAGACCCCTCAGGTCCATAGTGGCCCACAGCAAGCCCACTCAAGTCCTCAGACTCGAAGGGTATGGACCTTCTCTGCCAGAAGACCAGGCTTTCATGTCCTGGATACAGTAAGCATTGGCACTTGGTCATCATCCTCTATACATCTGACAGAGGACAGTGGAAATTTATGATATCAACTTTTTTGAGCACCATTATTGGTTGAATTGTAGCTCTCCCCCAAAAAAGACATGTTGAAGTCCTAACCTCCAGCATCTCAGAATGTGACCTTGTTTGGAAATAGGGTCACTGCAGATGTATTCAGTTAAGATGAGGTGATACTAGAGTAGGGTAGGCCCCTCATCAAATATGACTGGTGTCCTTATAAGATGATGTGGATATGTGAAGCACTGTAAGACAAAGGCAGAGATGAAAGTTATGCAGCAGCAAGCTGAGGAATAGCTAGGATTGCCAGCAACCCCCTAGAAGCTAGGAAGAGGCCCAGAAGGCTTCTGCACAGGTGTCAAAGGGAGCACAGCCCGGCTGACGTCTTGCTTTGGATTTCTGACCTCCAGAACTGTTAGGCAATAAATTTCTATTATTCTAAGCCACCCAATTTGTGGTATTAGGTTGGTGCAATTACTTTTGCACCAGCCTAATATTTTGTTTTGGCAGCCTTAAGAAACTAATAGAGGCACTTTACTTCTTTTCTTCTACCATATATCAGTAGTAGTATGCAAATTGGTGATTTGCTGTCAGAATTCCAACATGGCCTTTGACCTCAGCATGAGACAGCTTTCTGAGATGAATGTTTCACAAGGTTCTTTTGGAACTCCCATATTGAAAAGTTTTTGGATGGCACTCAAACACTACATTCAACTCTTAAGCAAACTGCATTGCTGAGGGACACTACTATGGGATTAGAATTAATATATAACAAGGTGAATCATAGAGGGATTGGCAAGGCTGGCTCCATTTATCAGTTAGCATTATTAGTGACTCTTTCTCCAGGAAAAAGATCAAGAAATCTGTTCCCTGTTAGCACGATCAATATCCAAATTGATTAAATTTCAGGGTATAATATACCATTATCCATTCTGGAAAGACAGGGAATTCTGTTCCAAGAGGACCCATTGTGGTAACAGGCAAAGGAAACAGAGAGGATATAGGAAGGAATGACAAAAATGAATAGATAGATGCCATATCACAATTGATTAAATACTGTTATTACATTATTAATGGAGAAGATAGATGCCAAAAAGATTGGAATACAATACAATGGAATACTAATGAGCAATACAGAGGAATGGAGGAACAAACTATTGATGTAGCAACATAGATGAATTGTAAAAAAATACGATGCCCAGAGAAAGAGTCAGACACAAAAAAGTACCTACTCTATGCACTCTATGATTCCGTTTATAGGATGTTCTAGAACAGACAAAACTAACCTATAACACTCAGAACAGCAGTTGCATTTCTTGTGTGGAGTGGAGGGCTGGGGGTTTGATCTGGAAGGGGCATGGAGGAGCTTCTGGGAGTGATAAAATGTCCTGTCTCTATAGGGGAGTATGCTATGTGGAGATATACGTTTGTCAAAACTTATCTACCAGGAACCTTAAAGGATGTGCGTTTCACTATGTGCAAATTATACCTCACAAGACATGTTTTAAAATGTTGAATACGATGATTTAAAAACATATTGTAGAGAATTTGGAATTTTTTTAAAAAATTAGGAAGAAAATTAAAACACTTATAACCACTATTTAGAGTAAATAATTTTAATGATATGAAATATAATATAAACATTATATTATCTCATTTGCATAGAGAAGAGATAAAGCATAAGATCAGAGTGAATACATAACTTGTTTCCTCTATTCCTATATTAAGTGGGGGAAAAGGAAGACTACAAAGTTATTATTTATGCTCTTGTTACTGTTCTTTAAAAATCATTATACCTATGAGTAAGGTCTACAATAAAATTATGGCAAATAGTTGGTATTTCCCATCTTGTGACTGTGTAGTGTGGTTTAGTCATGATAGAAAAACAGGTTTAAGGAGGAAAGATGAAAGCAACAGAGGTAATTTTTCTAGAGTGGAAAGCATACAAAGGGTCACATGATTGCAGTCTTCATTTGTAATCTTCATTTGTAGGAAAGCTGTGAGCCTGCTGAAGACAGGAAGAGCGTCTCATTAATTCTGAGTCCTAGTGCCACATGTGGCAAAAAGTAGGGACACCATAAGCATTTCTGAATAAATATTCTCCATGTTGGCTAGGCACAGTGGCTCATGCCTATAATCCCAGCACTTTGGGAGGTCAAGGTAGGAAGATAGCTTGAGGCCAGGAGTTCGAGACCAAATTGGGCAACATAGCGAGACCCTCGTCTCTATAAAAAATATAAATAAATAAATAAATATTTTTAAAAAATTATCCATGGCCAGGGAGAATCAGTCAGCAAGAAATTGATTTTAAACTAAAACATGAGAGATTTGGAGCACACATGAACATGCCTTTGACCGTCAGAGATCGTGAAGAAATTCTGGAATACCTAACGCAAAAAAAATTTAAGAGTATATTACTATTTGTTGAGGATACTTTACACATCCTTCTTCCTAAAGGAAGGCATCTCAAGCTGCCTCCAGCTTGAGATGGCAAGGCTCTCCATTTCCTATCTAGGTATAAGATTTCTACTTCTATTATTGCTTCTTCCAGAAGATCACAGATCAGAATTACTTAGAAGTACTTGTCTATTCAGAAACCGTATTTGGGTGAGAGACAGAAGGAGAGCAGATGGCCAGCCTTAGAGCCATGTTTTCAGCAAAGAGGCTCAGCTTCCACCTCAGAGCTGAACTTTACAGAACTCTCAAAGGGATTCAATTCCATGCTTGTTCCAAACATCATGTAACCAAGGCCCAAGGAGTCCGATTACTGTCTAAAGCAGGGGGTGGTTGACATGCCCATATTGCTAAGAAGCACCCTTCTTGAGGTGCCTGAAATGATGTGGCTACTTCAGAATGTTGATAGCAGTCCTGTTCTGGTGGTAGAACCTGCAGAATTTTTAATTTTTCCTTTTTAATTGTTCTAAAATAAACATGTAGTGCTTCTGCAGACAGAAAACTACCACTCGTTTCTATATTCTCAGGATGTTAAAATGATTCAAAGAATTCTCTCTTTGAATCAATTTTCAAGGTCAAGTTGCTTACCACCCCTTAAAGAAATTTAAATGATGTTTAGAAATAGACCTGCCTTTTCATGTCCTCTTCCTTCCCCTCTGTTGAATAAACAAGGCTTTGTTTAAGCTAACAGTTGTTGAGTACACATTCTGTACCTGTTGGCAGCTGGTACCAGATAGGGTGAGGCATTTCACAACTTACCATGGCCATGACTCTAGGTCAAGATCAGAGTTCAGTCACCCAAGCAGAAGTTCTTCTGTGATAAAAGCAGAGGGAAAATTATTCTGATGAAGGAAATGGCATTAAAATCATTAATCAGGATAACTTGCAGTATGCATTAAGCTAAGCCACGAGGAAATGACACCCAACTTTATCAAGAGGCCAGGTACTGATTAGCCAAAGATATAAGGGGTGGGTTAGTAATTAGAGAAACTGTTACAAAAAAGTCAACTTTATCACACTAGTAAAATATTTTCCTACCTGCTCTTCTGTTTGGATATACGTATGACAGAAATGAATCCTATTGTTTTGTTAGGGTAAAGTACCATTACTTGTACTCGAGCTGGACACAGATTCTGAACTGAATGTAACAGCAGATCAGAAGAAGCTCCCCCTTTGAGAAAAGAGATAATCCAGCCTACAGCATACCAGCCTCCTCTCTGTGTGTGCATATGTGTGAGTATGATTGTGCGCGTGTACGTGTATGTGTAACGACAGGCCAGCAGCCCAACCAGCATTAGAATCTTTTCATTTCCCAATGGCGATTTTCAGTGCCACCATTCTAGGATTAAAGATGTTTCTTCCCTTTAAGCTGCAGCCTTATACATTCAACTTTGTCCCGAGTTTTCAGCACCCCCCTTTCATCAAGAAGACTTGAATCATCACACATTTTTTAACCCCTTCAAAAAAACTTTAATACAAAGGATGCAAACATCTATAAATGAAAAATATGGTTCTTCTGACCCTTCTGGGTGTCATGGGAGAGAGAACATCATTGAATGAAAATGACAATGGCTTGACTTCAGATGGAATTGGACTATTTAAAATTGAGTTTCCCAGAAAAGTAGGCACTGATTTCTAGAAGGAAATCAACTCCTTATCAAAGCTATTTATTGAGCCAATTTGGCTGGTTAACATCTTCACTAGTATAAAGTAACCCAGTGCAGGACTCTCAGACGTGAGCTGAACCGAGTGTACACCGTCAGACTGCAAGGGCACTGATGAAGCTACTCTGAAAGCTGGCTGTTCCCATCCTCCAGATGAGGACCACCCCGATTTTATCCCAGGAGCCTGGTCCATTCCTCCCATACTCCAACGGTCACACATTATACAAGGTACCTTTCTGCTTCCCCACTTCAACTACTCTGCAAGCCAATTAGAAAAACTTGTTTTAAAAAAAAAAGGAGGGGAAAAGCCTCATGTTATCTCATCCAGGCTGCCCACCCCAGCCCCCCAACTGGAGGCATGCCAGGTGGGGGATGGGGTGGGGGCACAGGGGGCTGTCCTCCAGGGGGCACAGCAGGAGATGGGTAGCTGGCTGGTGGCAAGCCCAAGCCTGGAAGAGGTGACTGCGTGGGTGGGGGGCAGGTGTGGGGGTGGGGGTGGGAAGTTGGGGTTATAGGTGGGTAGGGGTGGGGGGTAGCCAGGAGTAGGTGGTGCGATGGCAGGTGCGGGGAAGGAGGCCAGGAAAGAAGGCACAGGTGGCGGGTGTGGGTTGGGCGGGTAGACATCGGGCTGGTAGGGCAGGTGTGTGGGCGGGCCATAAGTGGGGGAGGGGGGACAGGGCGCCTTAGGAGGGCCCCTCAGTCTTCATCACGGACTGCAGGCTCTGGTAGCCCTCTCCAGACATGTAGGAGCTGGTGGTGGACATGTAGCTGGAGGGGGGTGGGGGTGGGGGCCGGTGTAGCAGCGGTGGTGGCTGGTGCACAGGAGCCACGTGGGCTGGAGGATGAATCTGGACTTTGGGGAGGTCAGTGGCATCCACAGGGCCTGGCGGCTCAGCCTCACCTAAGGCAGCAGTGAGGGGAGGCTTTCAGTCTGGAGGTGGGTAGGCTAGAGGCAACAGTGGGTGAGTGGTCTCAATCTTGGGAATTTTAGATGAAGGTGGTTCTGCTTTGTTCTCTTCTTTGGGAGAAACAACCATGGCTCGCTTAATCTGTTGGGGAGAACTGGGCTGCAGAGAGGGTTTCTTGGGCTGCTGGGCTGGCTGCTGCTACTGGGCTGGTTGCTGGGGGTCCTTCTGCTGGGGCTGGGATGGTTCGGAGCCTTGAGACGGTTGTGACTGTTGTACTTGCGGCACTTGTGGTGCAGGCTGAAGAGATGGGGGCTGTTGCAGCTGATGGGGGGTGTGATGAGGCATCTGTTGTTTTCCTTGTGAGTAAAGATCCAGGATTTGGTGGCACATGTCTTCCAAAACGTCAACTGGGACATCTTGAACAAACTGTTCCCACCACCTCCTATACATGGATTTGGAGGTTCATTCTTGTATTTCGAATTTGCACAAACGTCCTGCGAGATACATCACTGCTACCGCTATGATCTCTGGTTCCCACTGCAGTGACAAGGTGGTGCAGAGACTGTCATTTACAAATGTCCATGCCATTTGAACCAACTTTTGAATTTTGTTTTTATCACCTTTGAATTGCTTTGCATATTTGAGTAGGAACTGGTATGTATGTTCCACCCATAAATCAAACTTGACGGTCTACAGTAAGATTCTCTCCAGAATCATTACTTCCTCCTCCAAACTGGTCAAACTGTCCATCATTTTATAAACTATGAGTTGTTTTGATAATATCTTTACTTTTTTTTGGCGTTTCTTCTACTTTCCCAGCCAGAAAGAGGCAACAGGCTCCTGTCACATATCTTGGGAATTGCTTGAAGGAATAACACATATAGAAGCGATGAAAATAAATTATTCCAGTTGCCAGGGTATCATAGTGTAGCCCCAAACATGTGCCCACATCAAAGATGAACTGAGTGCCCTCTCAGTGGTACCGGGCCTCAGTGGTTGGATCAAGTCTTCAAGTTGTGAGGGTGTATGAGCCAAGTCTTTCTTATCCCAGTACCAACATGGTTCTGTGTGGTCCAGGTTTGCTGAAGTTACTGAAGGGCTTGAATTTTCTTTATTCTCCTTCATTTATTGAAGTAAACTTGTTCTCTCCAAAAGGTTCTCTGAAAATGTTAGAATCCCTCGTTTCAGGCAAGCCCGTTAGTGATGTCTCTTCTTGCTGACTGTGGCCATCTTGCATGTGGAATCCATCACACACTTTTTTCAGTTGTTCAGAATGCAAGAAATGTCTTCATTGTACTCTAGGACTCTTGTGGAGTTCTCATGATATATAAACAGCCCTCTAACAGCAGCCTACCAACTCCTGTTCCCATATCTAAGTCATAAGGACAAGGCTCCTTTTCTTTTCTTTTTTTTTTTTTTGAGTCAGGGTCTCCCTCCATTGTCCAGGCTGGAGTGTAGTGGTGCAATCATAGCCCACTGCAGCCTTAAACTCCTGGGCTCAAGTGATCCTCCTGCCTCAGCCTCCCAAGTTGCTGAGACTATAGGCATAAACCACCTGGTTAAGGCTCCTTTTCTCAGAATTTAGTTAGATCCTTGGTACTCAAGGAATTATCCTAGAACCAGGAGTACAGGCATTCCTGGGAGCTTGTTAAAAATGTAGAATCTGGCTGGGCACGGTGGCTCATGCCTGGTAATCCCAGCACCTTGGGAGGCTGAGGCATGTGGATCATTTGAGGTCAGAAGTTCAAGACCAGCCTGGCCCACATAGTGAAACCTCATATCTATTAAAAATACAAAAATTAGCTGGGCAGTAGTGGTGCGCATCTGTAATTCCAGCTACTCAGGAAGCTTAGGGAGGAGAATCACTTGAGCTTGGGAGGTGGAGGTTGCAATGAGCCAAGGTCACCCCACTGGACTCCAATCTGGGCGACAGAGTGAGACCCTGTCTCAGAAAAAAAAAAAGCAGAATCTCAGGCCCCTCCCTACTCCAGACCTACTCCCAGAATCTGCATTTGTACAAGAGTCCCCATATATGTGCCTGCACAGTAATTTGAAAAGCACTGGTACAGATAATTTTACCAAGCAGCGTGCTTTTCAATGATAACTAAGTCCTTCTTAACCCACCTGATGATCACTTAGGCCTCGTTTGGTCACATTTGCTTTTCACCTTCCAGCTTCCTTCTTCCTTGTTTCCCATCATTCATTGCTGACTTGCCTCCTATTACCTGGAGGTTCAACTAAGGGGAGAATCAACTAGTCCTGTGGCACAGTCTGAGCAAACGTGCAGAGGTGGGAATGAGCTACAGGTTCAGGGATAATGAGGAAATTCGGGTGTGACAGCAGAGGGCTCATTCCAGGGAAGGCTCAGAAACAGGGTTGGAAAAGCCAAAGCAAACTGAATGGTAAGGGCCTTGCATGGCAGACTGGGGAGTCTGGCTTTATAGTGTATACATAGGTCATGGGAATACAGTGGAAAGGTTTTTGTTATTTGCAGAGAAATGTTATAATAAAGAAAAGCTTTAGCAAGGTACTGTACTTTACTATAGGGTAAACTGGAATGAGAGAGACGGGAGTGAGGGAGAAGGAGTCAAGAAGGCTTGAGAGATGACTACAGGAACAGAAGGGAAGAGGCAAAGGCCTGGGCAGGGTGTGGCACTGGAATATGACATACGTGGGATGTTTGGAAGGGAGACTTTATCGGATGCAGTGACTCATGGGCTATATAGAGTTACTCATTCAATCACCAAATATTCCCAAATCACCTCTAATAGCACCTCTCCAGGTGCTTGTTCTGTTAATAGAGATAGTGCAGTGGATAAGACAATGAACCTGCTGTCAAGGCATTTATAGTCTACCAGGAGAGATAGATAACACATTTATTTTACTTTTTATATAACTAGACATCTTAATCTTTTGACAAATATCTTTGACAAATATAATTTTCAAGCTCTTTCCACAATAGAAATCATTACTTAACCCCACTTATTTCATTAAAAAAAAGAAAAGATTCATTCTGACTTCTCTTTCCTTTTTTTTTTTTTTTTTTTTTTAAAGCAGAGTCTTGCTCTGTTGTCCAGGCTGGAGTCCAGTGACATGATCTCAGCTCACTGCAACCTCTGCCTCCCAGGTTCAAGCAATTCTCCTGCCTCAGCCTCCCTAGTACTGGGATTACAGGTGTGCACCACCATGCCCAGCTAAATTTTGTATTTATAGCAGAGACCAGGTTTCACCATGTTGACCAGGCTGGTCTCAAACTCCTGACCTCAAATGATCTGCCCACCTCAGCCTCCCAAAGTGCTGGGATTACAGCCATGAGCCACCACACCCAGCCCTCTGACTTCTCTTTCTAAATGCCAGATATACATCAACCAGGCCGTCTGTGACCCCAGAGACAGTGGACTTGGTGACAGTGGTGATATCTACTGTAGGAATGCATCGTAACTTAGCTAACTCTAATTAGTTCTGATATAAACAGGCCCAGCATCAGCTGCTAAAACACTTAGATAATTTTAAAATATATTTTTAACTCTTACTTCTAACTTCTACTCAACCTCTTTGTCACCAACAACAAATTTTAGAAGGAATAAATAAGATAATTTCTGATGCCGGTGAGATGATGAAAATATAACAGAATGATGGCACAGAGCAGGGGTCAGCAAAACACAGTAGCAAAATCCTGCTTTTGTACAACCTACAAGCCAAGAATGTCTTTATATTTTTTAATAATTGACCAAAAAAATCAAAAGAAGGATATTTTATGACGTGAAAATTATACAAAATTCAAACTTCAAAGACTTATTGAAACAGTCACATGTGTTTGTTTATATTTTGTCTGTGACTGTTTTCAAGCTGCAACAGCAGAAATGAGTAGTTGTGACCGAGATCCTGTAGCCCAGGAAGCTAAGAATATTTACTGTCTGGCCCTTCACGGAAAACATTTGCTGACCCCCAACATGGAGGATGACAGGATCAGGTTACCAGGAAGGAGCTGGGCTGAGCAGGGCAATCTGGGAGGCATCTCTGAGGAGTTGACATCTGAACTAAAACCTGAATGAAGGGAAGGGGCTTGCCATTCAAAGTTCTGGAAGAGAACTCTTTCAGGCAGCTAGAGCAGTTAATGCAAATGCGCTGTGGCAGAAATGAGCTTACTCTGTTTGAGAGATGGACAAAAGCATCGTGAACAAGGGCAAGAGTGGCATGAGAAGAAGATGCAGTCAGGACATATGATATTGTGACTTATGATAAGGAATATACACCTGTTGTTCTTCCTATTCCTGGTACAGAAATCCTAAATCCCTTGGAATTTTCTAAGTGATAAGAACAATAATGATGAAGGGAGCATCTTTCGTTATTCATAACAAGCCCCTTAACCTCACCTGAGTTTATGTTAATGAGGGGTTGTCTGGAAAGACCCCAGATAACTATAGGATGGGGGGGGCTGGTTGCCCCAGTAAACAAACTCTAGCCGGGCGCGGTGGCTCATGCCTGTAATCCCAGCACTTTGGGAGGCTGAGGTGGGCGGATCATGAGGTCAAGAGATCAAGACCATACTGGCCAACATGGTGAAACCATGTCTCTACTAAAAATACAAAAAAAAAAAAAAAAATTAGCTGGGCATGGTAGCTCATGCCTGTAGTCCCAGCTACTGGGGAAGCTGAGGCAGGAGAATTGCTTGAACCGGGAGGCGGAGGTTGCAATAAGCCGAGGTCACACCACTGCACTCCAGCCTGGCACCTGGTGACGGAGTGAGATTCTGTCTCAAAAACAAACAAACAAACAAACAAACTCTATGATTAAAGAGTTGGAATTTTCATTCCAACCTCTCACCTCAGGGGAGGGGAGAAAGGCTGGAGATTGATTTCATCACCAATTACTAATGATTTGATCAATCACGCCTATGTAACAAAGACTCCGTAACAACTCAAAGTACAGTGAGAAATAGGGAGTGGAGGGTTTGAAGAACTTTCAGGTTAGTGAACACAGGGAGGTGCTGGGAAGACAGTGCACCTCGAGAGGCCGTGGAAGCTGTGAGCCCTGCCCCACCTGCCCCTCCCTATGTGTTCTTCTATCTGGTTATTGCAGAACTATATCCCTTTATCATAAACTGATAATCCAGTAAATAAACTGTTTTCCTGATTTCCGTGAGCCATTCTAGCAAATGATGGAAGAAAACAGGAGTCATGAGAACCTCTGATTTCTAGCCATTCCATCAGAAGCACAGGTGACAAGCTGAACATTCCCTGGCATCTGAAGTGGGGGAGGCTTGTGGGACTAATCCCTTAACCCAAGCTTGTCCAACCTGTGGCCTGTGAGCCACAAGTGGCCCAGGACAGCTTTGAATGTGGCTCAACACAAATTTGTAAACTTTCTTAAAACATTATGAGTTTTTTTGCTTTTTTTTTTTTTTAGCTCATGAGCTATTGTTAGTGTATTTTATGCGTGGCCCAAGACAATTCTTCTTCCAATGTGGCTCAGAGAAGCCAAAAGATTGGACAGCCCTGCCTTTACCAGAGGGGTCTGAGCTAACTTGATAGTGCTGGAATTGAGTTAAATTGTGGCATGCTCAGTTGATGTCCAAAGAGAACTGAAGAACTGCTTGATGTGGGAACTCTTCCCGCCCCCTCACCCACCCACATCTGATGCTAGAAGTGAAAAAGTGTTAAAGTATAAGGAAAAATACTTTGTTTTCCTATACAATTGGTGTCAGAAATGGGATTTGCTAGAATGGCCCTGGCTTGCAGAAACATGGTATGGGAAGAGAAAGAACGAAAGGGTTGAGGATGAGGAACTTTGATTCCTGGGTGGCCACACGGTCATGAGACAGGCAGGCATCTGAAGTGGGTATGTTTCCCTATTTTTAAATGGCCTGGGCCAGGTGTGGTGGCTCACACCTGTAACCCCAGCACTTTGGGAGGCTGAGGTGGGTAGATCACCTGAGGTCAGAAGTTTGAGATCAGCTCGGCCAACATGGCAAAACCCTGTCTCTAATAAAAATATAAAAATGTAGCCAGACATGGTGGTGGGTGCCCGTAATCCTAGCTACCTAGGAGGCTGAGGCAGGAGAATCATGCGAACTCCAGGAAGTAGAGGCTGCAGTCAGCCAAGATTGCATCACTTACTTCAGCCTGGGCAACAGAACGAGACTCCGTCTCAAAAGATAAATAAATTTTTTAAATGGCCTGGAAGAAAATTATAGAAGCCCTTCACTCAAGATCTAGCTTATCTAACTCTCAGCCAATCAGTAATAAAGGATCCAAGAAGCTTATTAACCGCAAGCTCCTATTTCAGGGGGGCTGGAGACTTCCCCAGAGCCTGGCATGCCTAGCTAGACTTAAAGTCTGACCTACAGTTAACCTTCCTCATTTTAAGGTTAAAATTCATGTGTGAGGTGGAGATTTAAAATGCTAATATTACATACGATACATGAAGAAGCATGCTGAGCTACTGCATGAGTGCTAGAAAAGCCTCTTCTATACATGCTCTGATGTAACCCTTTCCCACGGAAAGACCCTATACCCTACCCTCTGACAGCAGCCTGTCTCTTTTCCTTTTTCAGCGCTGGGTCTCTTGTGCACAAGCTAAAACAAATTTTCTCTTAGCTGCTGTGTACGGTGATTGCTCTTGATTTCTCTCCTGGGCGATTACAAGAACCCAGGGCATTGGTAACAGCCACCCATGGTTTGGAGTAGCACACCATGCTGAGATCTATTACAAAAGGTAAAAGCTACCCCAAAGGTTGGCTTACTGGATGAATAAGGAAAGGGAAACTAATAAGAAAAGGTGACATATTCAGTCCCTTGGTTATTACTATCTGTAATAGCTAAAATAAAATTGAAAGAGAGTGCTGGGTCAGTCCTTCATGCTAGACCAAGCTCAGATTTCAGTGAGTCTGTGCTCTAGCCACTAACTGCAAAGCCACCCACCAATGGCAAAATTATGTTGCGATTACCGACAGTATCACTAAGAACTCTGGTAACTGAGAATCTAGTTCATGTGGGGTGGAAGGCAAACCATGAAACTATTGAAACCACAGGGTACAGTGTGAAGAAATTATTTCATTTTGTAGCTCAGTATCATAAACTTCCTGACGAACTTTTATTCAAATGGATCGTGAGAGTAACTAAGTGAGTGACAGTGTCTTAGGTTTTGAACACTGCAGAGTATTCAGAACGCTGGCATTCATGTGTGGGTTGATGCAGGACCCACAGCTCTCTATGGAACAGTCACAGATGTTTCAGGTGATCCAGACACACAAGAGGTTGTTCCTGAGAGAACATCCAGCCTGGGGGACTGGACAAAAGCCACACTAACATCTGCTTACCCTGAGAAGGGTACGTCTCCCCTTATAAATGCCAAGTAGAACATCCCTGATGAAGCAGCTGATATGCTTCATATGCAAGCCACATAGGACTGGCTTGATGATCATCAGGGTATTCATCTGCTGAATACACCCGTTACCAAGGTCATGGTAAATGCTGTGGTTAAGGGGGCTCCTTTTACATAAACCCCTCATATAACCTTACTGTCGCACAACCAAGGGAGTCTTAATTGAAATTTCTCTCTCAGCTTCCCCTTAATGGGTCTTACAGATGCTAATAAAAACATGAGGTTAGTTAAGAGAAGAATGGGGAAAGGCACAGAGTGTCAGAGACTGGTCTTAGCAGGGTGGAAATTTTTAAATGGTTACTAACAAATAGGGCCAGGTGAGATGGCTCACACCTGTAATTCCAGTGCTTTGGGAGGCTGAGGCAGGCAGATAACCTGAGGTCAGGAGTTTGAGACCAGCCTGGCCAACACGGTGAAACCCTGTCTTTATTAAAAATACAAAAATTAGCCAGGTGTGGTAGTGCATGCCGGTAATCCCAGCTACTCAGGAGGCTGAGGCACAAGAATGGCTTGAACCTGGGAGTTGGAGGTTGCTG